CGCCTTTTTGTCCCATTGACATCTTTCCCCATCAACATTTATTGCTCTGACTACTTAGCCATGTGCCCACGGATGCCATCAACTGGAAGGCCCAGTTATTACAACCGTGACCTCTTGTGTTGGTGTCAGAAGTGGGTGGAATTTTGGGGAGATGCCAAGGTCTGCTTCCTACCCGTAGTCCAGCCCCATCCACCTAGTGGGCCTTTAGCCACATGATCATGCCTTGAACATCTGGACAAGACACTGCGAATGGTCTTCTTGTGGCAGCTCATGTGGGTGGAGCTTATTTTGTGGGTGGAGCTTGGAAGAGACCTGCCATCTTGTCCATACTTATGACCATTGGTAAGAAGACCGTGAACTACAGATTGTGTTTGGCCCTGGGATGTTCTTTACTCCCTGTTCAGGAGGACAGAAAACTCAGGAGGTTCTCCCAAGCTTTGCCTCCAAGCAGCCCTGGACTTTGGGGGAGTTTGGATTGGCAAAGAGTTTTCTATCCTGGCTGGGACACGGTGTTCCCTGAAAGCTGAGCGCTTGGGTGGACACCCAGGGGAAATTGGCAGAGTGCTCACAGCACCCACAGCTGGTAGCATGTGTTTCTACTGGTGGTGCACATCTGCACGTTTCAGAGTATATATAGCAGTGGTCTCCAACCTTTTTACACCCAAGATCACTTTTTAAACCCCTTCCTTGAAGCCCCGCCCTCTCTCTCCTCCTCCTCCTCTCCATCACTTGCTATCCCCAATCCTTATGCTGCTACTTTAAAAAGAAATTCCCACCATTCCTCGCAGCTACTCACCTGTGCTGTTGCTCAGTGAGTAGTTGCTCCTCAAATGAGGAAATCTAATGTAAATGTACTGCGCAGGCGCGCAGTTCAAAGAGGGCTCAAGAGCTACGCTTAGAGCCTCCGAGATCTACCAGTAGATCGCGATCTACTGGTTGGTGACCACGGATATATAGCAACATTTTTTCTACACAGGGGTGGAAAAAAGTAGAGGGAACATTGCTTGGAAGACTCCAAGTTTGGATGCTTCAGATGCCATTTGGGGTGGAACTTCTGGGTTCTTGTCTTGAATAGAAACTGTGGAACTTTTTTTTGCTTTGCCTGAACCTTTGATTGTTTCATTTCTCCATCCAGGTTTTTGTATCCTGCCCACCACCGTGGTATCTGATCTTTGAACAGATCCCTAGAAACTCGACCACATCTGTAGCCTGCAATTGAGCACTCTAAGAGCACAGCTGTGGTGCCTGCAGTTCCTGCCTGTGCTACAGTTGGTCAGTAGCAATATTAGTAACACAAGACACATTGGTCACGAAGAACCTGCCGTGGCTCAGCAGCTCCCACATGTGGCTCCTGTCCTTTGAGAGGGACGCCCCCTCGGCGCATGGCGGGACGGAGCGAGCGAGTGTCATTCTTGGAGTGCCTTCCGATGCGGCCACTGGCACTGAGCCAGGGGCTATAAACGGCCTGCATGACTCAGAGGAGAATGATTGCCCTGCAGGGGCTGGCTCGTGGACAAAGGGGGAAAGAGGAGGCGCAGTGGGGAGGCAGCTTGGCAGTGAGGCTGGACAGTTGGACTGGGATAAGAAGACGCTGAAGGCGTTCTGCTCCTCCAACATTGATAGTCCGATGACCTGGTTCAGTGAAGCCTTCCAGGCTATGTCTACACTACTCTGATCTTCCGGGAAAAGCTACGCAAATCACGAACTGAGAATTGTGTAGCTTTTTCCGCTTTTTTTTTTCAGAAGAGGTTTTTCCAACATTTGGCCCGTCTACACAGGGCCAAATGTTGGGAAAAAACCCTTTTTCGGAACATCCGTCCTCGTAAAATGAGGTTTACAGGGATGCCAAAAAACCACATCTGCTCTTCCAAAAAAAAATTTCGGACGAGCAGACATGTTGCCTGGATGCGGCAGAGGTTTCTGGGATACCTAGATATCCCGGAAAAACTCAGTAGTGTACATATCGTTGAAACATGTTGGGATTGCCCTCCTTTGAGCCATGGAGAAAACTAGGTGTGGACAGGAAAGTGGCCACATGGGAGGGAGAGTGTTCTGATGGAACCAATGTGCTCCCTGCTCTAACCACTAGGGGACACAGCCCCTCAGAGGAGCTCTACAGGTGACCTCTGGGGGAAAAGCCAAGGATGAAAGCAAAATCTGTGGCCTTGCTGCCAGCAATAAGCAACTGCAAATGCCTCTGCATTTTAAAAAAAATCCTTCTTAACTTTCTGAATGGGGGCCGCCCCAGGACTGGAACAAGCGCAGGCACCAGGACTTGCTGCAGCCGGTTGGACCGAGAGTCCCTCCAGCCCGGGTCCTGCCTTGAGGAAGCTGTTGCCAGCACACGGTTTGTCGGAAAATGCCGGCTTGTGGAAACCCAGAATATTTGCTGGAACTGGATCCAGTTTGCCCAGCACTGCCCAGCACCGGGCTGCACGGTGAAGTCCATGTGCTGTGGTCACAGCCTGGGGGGGGCCTAGGGGTGGGCCCACTCCTATCCCAGCTCTGCCGAGCAGACTCCGCTGGCCCCGCTGGATCCTGTTTGTCTGAGACATGGATTCCTGTCGGCTGACGCGGGGGCTGAGTCCTATCGCCCTCGTCCCACTCTGGGCCTGGGCTGGGCTCGGCTCCCTGTGCTCCAGAGATTAATCTTGGGCTCTCCAGGAGCAGGGGCTGTTAACCCTTTCCAGGCTGTGTCCTTGCCCACGTGCCGGCGGCACCTGGAGCGTTTGCTCAGGCAGCTTTCGGGCCTGGATTCTGAGCGCCAGCCCCCCGATCCTAGAGGCTCAGGGATTCTTGTCAGGTCACGCGTGCCGGGAAGGCTCTGTCTCGGAGTCTGACTCAGGAAGGGGGATTAGTGCTGGGATTTGTCAGAGCGGTAATATAGTAACAGCAAGAGGCCGGGCTGCCCATCTAAGGCTGCGTCCCTGCTTCGGGCTCGGGGGTTACGGGAGCCCTCCCTGCCCACGGTTCCGGCAAGGCCTTTGGGAACCCCCACCGGCTGATCCCTAGCAGCCCAGAGCACCCCTCCCCAGGGCAGCGTCCGCCTTCCCCAAGCCAGAGGGGAAATTCAGCACAAGCCCACGCAGTCGCTGAGAGGTGGTCTGGGCTCTCTGGGACCAGGGTCCCGTAGCCCCCCGTCCGCCACACTTAGAGCAGGGCTGCCTGGCACTTAGCATTGTCGTTTCCTGGGACTCCCCTAGCAACCGTGCAAGGAACTCTGGAAAGTGGTTCGTGGGATCGGCAAAGGCCGGGAGGCTTCCCCAGCATGGCAGACAGGGCTCTTGAGGCCCCCATTTGTACAGCACCCTGCACCATGGGCCCTGGCCGTGGCACTCCTCAGACACTGCTCTAGCAAACCTGGCTAATAACAGCTGAGGCACTCCCAGCCCAGAGGCCTGGTGTGTCTGGCAGTGGCAGCCTGACTTGATGCCCTCCCAGAGAGAAGGGGGGTCAATCTAGGTCTTAATCTGGGGTAGCTGGGTGGGCTCCTGAGGGAGGGGCCTGGGTGGGCTGGCGCAGGAGCTGAACTTCTGGGTCTTGCACCTGAGGGTAGAATGGGCTCGTATGAGCCACATCCAATCCCTGCTTGGCCTGAGGGCATCAGCTGTGGTGCTCCAGCTTGGGCCTGCCCGTGAGAGTCACCGACCTGGGCAAGCTCCCCCAAGCTGGCCTGTGGGCCAAGCAAAGCGCCAGGCGGCTCCGGGGTTTGCTGCCAGCATTCTCTGCCCCCCGGGGAGCGGGGGCTGCTTGGGCTTGGTTCTGGGCCCCTCTCTGTGGGGGTGGCTGGGCTCCTCCGCAGCCCACGGCTTCTCCCCCCTTCTCAGTTAGCCTTGCTGGGCACGACTGTCCTGCCGTAGCTGTTCACACTGATGCTAGTGCTGCAGGGGTCGGGAACGAGGGAGCTGTGGTTCCTGGCGTGGATCGAACCTTGCGGGGCAAACTTTGAAAGGGCCGGGCGATAGCAGAGGCCAACAGCGCCTGGAGGATTCCAGAAACGCAAGGGCATGCGAGAGGAATGCCAGGAGCCTGCGAGCCAGCCGGGAGCCAGCAGGGAGCAATTCCTGGCGGGTGAGTCACACTTTGGAATAGCTCCAATAACACCCGGCCTGGCTCCCGCCTCCCTGCTGCACAGCAGAGCCGCAAACCTTGCTTCGGGTTCCAAACTCAGCCCGCCGGCCCTTGCAAATACAAAGGTTCTTTGCTCGATCCCGGGCAGCTCCTGTGCCCTCATGGACTTCAGGGGGCTGACCCATTGCTTCTTTTCACAGTCAGGGATCCCAGAGCCGTGGCTGGGCTTTCCCCTCAGGACTGGGATTCCCCCCATTGCTAAGGAGGCTCCTTGAGGCCGGGAGAGCAAACAGTCCTCCCAGATCACTTCCTTATCCCAACCAACCCACGGGAGAGAATCTCTTCCTTTCTGGCAGCTGGGAGCATGAGGACGGCCCTGTGGCCAGGCCCCTGCAGCAGAGCTGGCCATGAAACACGGCACCCCATACTCTGTGCTTTAGTGCCAGGCCCACCAGAGCCCCTGCCAACAGCCAGGGCAGGACCGTGCCCCACCACGTGACACTGCTCCGTATGGAAGAACGGCCCAAGGACGAGGAGCCCAAGGACAAGGCCCAAGACTGTTCCCAGCCCAGCTTCCCAGCCTCCCTCAGGGGAGACACTGAGCAGGTCACTTAGCTCAGGCGGCAGCTAGCAGAGGCTGCTGGGAGAAACCACGTCCTGGTGCCGTGTGGCACGTGGACCTTCTGGTGAACACGGAGAGAATTTCTCTTGGGGCTTTGCAGCCCCCACCCCGGATGCAGCCTGGCACTATCGCTGGCTACAGGCTAGCCCCAGGGGCAGTGCACCCGGCCATGCAGCACACGGGGAGAGACACTAGGGGGTTGGTTTATTTGACTTTTTCCGATTTATTTGAGCAACTCAGTGGCTGGGCTAGTACAAAAAAAACCAAACAAAACCAAAACCAAAAAAACCCATGGCTGGGGGGGGGGGGATTTTCCTCCGGGCCAGGCGCTGGCTTATTTCTTGGCAGCTTCCTCAGGCTTTTTGGTGTCGGTCGGGGTGATCTGGGCGTGGCTCTCAAAGGTGACGGGGATGGTGATCTCGGCAGACTGGATGGCCGGCTTGGGCAGGGGGGCTTCCACCGTCAGCGTGCCATCTGGGGACAGCGAGGAGCGCACCGTGGTGGCGTCGATGCCAGGAGGCAGGCTGCATGAGGGAGAGGAGAGGGAGGGTGTGCCGGGGCCGGGGGCTGGCCTGGCAGCGCCCACTGGCACCTGATTCCTGTCTGCCCTCGCTCCTGGGGAGCCAC